AAAATACTTTGAAATCAAAAAAAGACATCTTGTGTCATTTCCTCACAGCTGCAAGAGCTGTTGTTATTAATGTTCAACACATTTTCACTATCACAGAATGGGTAGTGGAACTAGACCTAATTATGTACCACGAACATCTAACTGCGGAGGAATTTCAACACTCTTTCCCCAAAAACAAAGCCTGATCATAGCAGAGGTATGGAGGGAACGCCCTTCTCCCCCGCAACTAACCCCTCCCTTTTCCAATATTCTACTAAAAGTTACTACCTCATAACTTAAATACCAATGTTTTAATACCTTGATCATGTCTTTATATTCTACAATGTATGCCACATATTGCAGACTCAAGTTAGTTTTAAAGATGTAAGCTGTTTACCTAATATAATCAGATCAAACTAAATATAATTACGTTTGGGAGACTTTTATGTTGCATTTTAATTATGATCCATAACCAGATGTAACATTAAACAATGTTGCTTCTAAGGATGGGTAAATATATAGTAAGTGAATGCTGTAATACTTTTTTTTCTGGAGAAATTACCATTTTAGAGTCCATTCAGTGCTGTGAAATACTGCACTTAGTCACATGATATCTGCTGAAGAAAAGTTTCATTTAATCTGAACCCTGATCCTCAGTCAAGGACCGGAAGTGAGGGTAATTTCTGTAAACAGGAGCAGAGCTAGCAATACAAGCCCTTTATTTAGAAGTGTAGGGAGGGGTTTGTACATCAGATTTGATTAGAATTGGCATCACTGTAAGGTGAATGCCTCCTACTTTCTATGTGTGAACTACTTACTGAAGTGAGAGGAAATCTCAATAGAGACCTAGACTTCAATAAAAACCTGACACTGGTTCAAACCCATCCCATCTTTATCAAAAGCTATGAAAATGGTTTTGTCTGGATATGGGCTTTAAGCCAAGATCATATGACTGTGTGCCTAGGCCTTCAGACATGTGGCTAATACTGAAGGGAGCCACAAGTAGCAGTTTCAATGGAAAGGGTATTTAAGCCCTTCCATTATAGTTTGTTTATACATTCTGGTAAGACTTGACAGTTGAACAGGAGGGTGATAATCTTATCACCAGGAGAGGCAATGATGATTGGGAAAGATGCCCATGTATAACCTGGCCTAAACATTCAGGGGCTGAATTAATGTGAATTAATGTGAAAACTAATACATGTACTTACTGGCATCACAAGGTACACTCTCTCTGCAAGTTTTACCTTAGATACTAAGGGGCTATGTGTGAAATGTAATCTAGCAAGAAACGATCTAATTGGCCATAGTTATCAGTTAGAATATTTGTTTCATTTCCAACTCTACACGGTAGAAATGGCATTTGGAAATTGGGTGCTGTGGACAACATGACATTTTTTTCTGTTTGCAAACTTTTCATACATAAACCAAAAGTCATAATTATTCTATTTGCTTTTAAATAGTGAAAAGCGCTTCCAAGTAAATGTTCTTACTCTTTCCAGTTTTTAGAGCATGTAATAGAAAAACTAATAATGTTGCAAAGCGACAACACAATTCTCCGAACACTTTGCATACAAAGTTCACAGTTTCACATATATGCTTATCTTACTAAGCAGATATGTCTTACATTTTGGAACTCGTTGAAAGTGAGGCACGTTAACCAAATTGATAGTAGCAGTGCTTGAACGTGAATGTAATTCATGTTTTACAAGAGTAACTAATCTCCACATAACTGTAAAGTCATTATTGTCTAGCAATAAACAATTATATAACAGTTTTCTATACATTACATAGTATCCTAAATATTTCTTGCGACGTTACATATTTTCATACCACTTGTGTAAGATTGGAATGTGTATAATATGCAATTATTCTTGCTCACTCATGCTTGCATTCTACATAGCCACAGTACTGGCAGATGGAGCTGTTGTTTCATGCATGGGAAGAATAATTTTATTAGGAAGCATGCTAGCGCTTAGGCTAAATCTGCGTGGACAAACATCTTCAGGCTGTGATGATGAAAGAAGCATTATGTCTAAAAGTGTAATAACTACATAGCAAATCAAGATTAAATGAAGGCAATGCTTTGGGTATTTACACATTGCAGTCCTTGAATAATTGTCCATTAGCAATGATATGGCTCTGGAATAAATGACTAGAGGTAATTTTAGGTATCACTGCTTATCATGGGCTTGAAATATGAAAGGATTTTGCATAATCTGAATCTAGCAAAAGTGTATTAGTAAATGTTGTGCGCTGCCATTTTATACTTTGTTATTTTTTTTATGACTTTACAGTTATGGCAAGTGGGTAAATGAGGCAGTCATAGTTTTAGCAGTGTGCCATACATGGGGGTATTGTTTTGCAACTAGAATATCAGGGCAATCGTTTGATCTAATGCCATGGTTAGGCACCATTATGCTCAAAGGTAAGTAAATTATTTGTTGGATTAGGGTTTAGGAGATAAACAGTGTTTGATGTTGAAGTTGGTGGATAAGCTTAGGGTACATTTTAGTGTTTACATTTAACTTTTATATTTTTAGGGTTGATGAAGGCTTAAAGCTGAAGTTTATTCTGCTTATATTTTGCCCACCCTAATTCCTCATTTTCCACATTATCAACATGCTGATGCGTTTAGGCAAAACCTCTCCATTTTTATTACATACAGGTGAAACTCGAATAATTAGAATATCATGCAAAAGTAATTGCAGTAAGTGCTGCAAAAGGGGCCCAAACCAAGTACAGAGTACATATGCATGCTTGTACTTTTCAGAGGTCCGATATTGTTCTATGTACAATCCTTGTTTTATTGATTGCATGTAATAATCTACTTTTTTGAGGTTGTGGATTTTGGGTTCTTGGGGTTTTCATGAGCTGTAAGCCATAATCATCACAATTATGACAAATCACGTCTTGAATTATCTTGCTTTTCATGTAATGAGTCTATCTCATATATATCAGTTTCACTTTTTAGGTTGCATTAGTGAAATATTCTAATTATTCGATTTTCACCTGTATGTTATTTTAGACCCTCCATCTAAAGTCATAACTGGGTCTCTATGCTTCCCTGTGCAGTGCAGGAAGATTGTAGCTAATGGAAGAGGCCAGCAGGGTGCTCAAGAGCCCTCAGGCCTGACGTAAGCAGTGGGCTGGCTCTTGAGAGGAGTTATGAAAATATCAAAATGCTTTGATGGGTCAATGTCAATCTGGAGAAGAGGGCGTTCCTAGACAGGTTGTAATCGCATGCAGGCCACCCTAGGTAACATTTATTTATTTTATTTATTACAGGTATTTATATAGCGCCGGCAATTTACGCAGCACTTTACATAGTGCACATTCACATTAGTCCCTGCCCTCAAGGAGTTTGCAATCTAAGGTCCCTATCTCACATGCATACACATTGCAGGGCCAATTTAAACAGGAGCCAATGAACCTACCAGCATGTCTTTGGGAGTGTGGGGGGAAACCAGAGTACCCGGAGAAAACACATGCAAACTCCTTTGCAGATAGTGACCTGGCCGGGAATCAAACCAGGAACCCCCAAGTGCTGCAAGGCACAAGTGCTAAGCACTATGCCACTGTGCTGCCCCACATGTGATGCTGAGCCTTCATGATTGAAAGAAATGGAATGAGTTAAAGATGTAGGCCAGGGAAAGTAAGACTGGGCTCTGTGTGACTTTCTGCAGCTTCTCATACACTCTGTAAGAAGCCTAAAGTGTGCAGTAAAATCGGAGTAAGCAATTTCAGTACAGGAGAGGAGCCTGTACAACCGTGTAAAGCTGGTGTTCAGCTTTAACAAATACTGAACGTGCACTTTGATAACAATTGTCAGCACGTAAGAAATGTTTTCTTTTCCTTACTGTGTACTGAAAGTAAGAAAAATTGACAAAAGTATAAACGAGCAGTTCCTATACTGGCAGTCAATTTTTATGCTACTTTTAGACTCATGTTAAATTTTCTTGTAAAGGTTTTCTTAAAAAGGAAAGAATAAGTTTTAGAAAGCCTTTATGGTTTACAGAAATTGCTCTATTTTCCCTGCAAAAGCCTTTTTGCATTGATTGATTGCAAAATCATTTTGGAAAACAGTCATCACTTGATTTTGTTGCATAAAATAGCAGCAGAGTTATTTCTTTCTAGATGGCTTTCTGAAATCAGAACTTCTCTTAAAGAAAACACTTCTAATGTATACCTTAGATCCTGCTGTCTTCTGGTTGGTCCCCTAACCCTTTCGGGTCTTTTTTATTCTGCTCTAGTGTTCGCAGTGGGCAGTCTTTAATACTGCAGAGATAAGTACTCATATATTGTAGTCAGCCCAAGCCAACATGGTGACACACATCCAGTTGGTGTGTCCATGGCAGCCTAGGTTCAAAGAAAGTGGGGTAGGTATTGCTGGCTGTCATTCAACCCGGAAGATCATTGAAGATCATCGACAGAGTACACTTTCTGCTTTCAGTTTTATGAAAATGGGGAGTTTTGAACGTCAGGTACATCCCTGTAAGGTTGGTTATATTTCCTAAAAATGTAACTTAGCGCAGTACTTTGCAAAATGTTTTACAGAATCCAGTATTTAAGTCCAGAATCCATTACAGGTATTCCTCACTTAACGACCGAGTTCCGTTCCTACGACCAGGTCGTTAAACGGATTGGTCGTTAAGTGAGGAACTCTATACAGTACTGTACTGCATTAGTACAGTACTGTATAGCGTTGCCGATGTACAGTAACGAACAGTGTACTGTACATCGGGCAATGAAAATACTTACCAGGACCCGCAATGAAGATCGGAGGACACCACTTCCGCCGGCGACACGGCGCACTGACGCTGACGCGCAAGGTCGGAGGTCGATCGGCGCTCCGTCGTAAGTGCGAGTGGTCGCAAAACAGGTAAGTCGGTAAGTGAGGAACATCTGTATATAAGATTTAATTGACAATATCATGAAGGAAACTTCTTTGTACAATATTTCAGTTGGTGTTTGAAGAGAAATACATTAAACTAAGATGCTTTGCACATTATGTTTTGCAGGTCAGCGGTGAAGCACAAGAATTATTTTCAGCTCGGCATGGTCCTGTACGATCTGCACGAATCTTGCCATCTCCTCAGATTTGTACGTTTCAGAGTTTTCCCCCTTTTTTTGACAGTTTTCTTGGTTTACAGGTCTTTATAGGTTTTATTTCAATTGGCCTTGTGAATTACCTTTGCTGCTCTGTTGGTAATATAAAATGTGAGTTCAATATGAGGTTTTTTTAAATATTCCACAAAATCTGCTTCCTGTTTAAAACCAAAATATTCTTAGGACACACACAATTCCAATGCCATTATACACAGTATAAACGCTGAATAGTGTTACCGTTGGCAAACAAGTATTACTTGCTGGTAAAAGCCCTGTATATTAACAGGAAAACTGTATGGTATGTTTATGAAGACATTTACAACACATCTATTTATAAGGCATCTTTGCCATACATTCATATTTACATTTGCAAGGTCAGGTAACATTTGGCAACATTCTCCAACGTCTGCTTTCAAGTGGCAGAAGGCACTTACTGTACTATATGGCTTATTTACAAATTGACAATTGCACATTTGCTGAATACAAATGTGCAATTTGTATTCAAATTGCCAAATGAACTTGTCAAATTGTCATAATGCCAAATGAACTGGCATTTGTGTTTTATATGCCATTCCACACTCTAGTTACTTTGCAATTGAATAATTTCTGTACAAATTTTGCAAGACTGCTCATTGGCGTGGGAGGCTCTTTGGAAAGTCAAACCTAGCTTGTTTTTTTGGTCAGAACTCATCATCTGCTGTTTCTGCAGTTTTGCAAAATTAGTAAAAAAGCACCTAATTCTGCATTACACCCTAATAGGATTAAACAGTGTCATATTTTCAGGACTTATGCTTTTCTCTTTGATCTGCTGAGTAAGTTCTTTGGAAATATTATCATTCTCTAGCTGCTTTTCTGAAACGTTTGGATCTTGTTAGGGCATATCTAGAACCATGTATGAGTACGAATCAAGGTTTTCTGCATTGTGCAAGTTGCTCATGATTTTGCTCTTTGCAGGCAATGGGGTTGATTTATCAAAAGCAGTAGGTTGTTCACTTTGCAAAGAAATTTGCACTAAATCATACACTTAGTTTAGTGACTGAGGTGAAGCCCTGATGACTTCCATCGTCTAATCATGTGCATGTGTTTTTTTTTTCCCTTGCACATGATTGTGTATTCTTTGCAAAGGGACATTTCTCCACATTTACCAAACTAAGGGACAACTCCTCTGCAAAGTAGAATTTCCCTTGTAAAGTGAACAGCCTATTTGCCTTTAGTAAATCAACTCCAATGGTATACACTGAGTGGCCAGATTATTATGACCACCCCATCAGTACTTCGTTGGGCCACGAGATGACTTCGTTGGGCCACCTCGTGACTCCACAAGATGTTGAAAGGTGATGCAAGGAATCTGACACTGCACTGTTGCCCTTCTGTTGTCTTATACCAGTCTTGCCACTCTCCGTTCTGCCCTAACATTGACTAGTCGCTGACGGCCACAATACGCGCGTTCAGACCCAGATTTTTGGCTGACAGTCCAGTCTTTAAACACTTTAACAATGAGCCCCTCTTGAACATTTAACAAATTATGCTGTTTTGCTGATACTCGCTCCATGGCTCGCGCCAACAATCATCCCACGTTCAAAGGCTGTTAAATCGTGTTGTTTACCCATATCTTCAGAAAAAAAATCACTTCTACTGTCGTGGTAAACAACCTGCTTCCCTATTTATAATGGTCTGGCCCTCTAGTAACTTCAGCGCAAAATTATAGCTAATTTGCCTACAAACGTCAGGTGGTCATAATAAACTGGCCACTCAGTGTATTCCAGCCTGTCACTTTATACATTTTTGGCACGAGTTGGCCCAACAAATCCATGATTCTGAAATAGTTGTTGGAAGCAATTCTCAAATCTAAGCATACCCTTATATTTTCCCACAACTCTGTGGCCATAGATTGCTGTAAAATTGTGACTTCATCATGTTGCCAGAGAAACCAAACACTAGTTCTGTTGCAAATATTTTGTATAAACCTCCCCGAGTGACTGCAGCATCTAAGTTCCAAAACTACAGGTCTAGAAGTGTTTAAGTGCCCCAAATAATAAATTTCCATGGAATTCAAACTAACCACATTTTTAAGTTTTACCTTGAGTTTTGTAGGAGTAAACCAATTTTATGTTATAAATGATATACATACACATTCTCGTATAATAGTTGGTAGTTTGTAAAAATGTATGTCATATAATATCAAGATAAAAGTACTGTTTCAAGGGTAGGACAATAATCCACGCTGTGCTAAATTAAAACCTTCTACATTATGTGCTATTTATAAAGATTTGCCACATTTATAAAGATTTGCCACATATGCACCTAATATGACCCTACTGTACATTATACAGTATATTTGCTGACATTCAACATAAGTGCAGTGATTGGTCCCAGGTCTTAAAACACATTCACCTTTGATTATAATGTTCAATCAGTAAATCACTTCATTTCAGCATCTTGAATCTTTGTGAAGATGGTGGTCTGTAGATCTTCAGGCCTTGACATTGTCTTACCGCTAGTTTTGCCTGTATGATTGCTCAGAAAAGAAAAGAAAAAAAGGTTTGCAAACTAAGCATTTTAATTCATGGTACTTCATGTATTCTAGCTCTCAGGTTATTCTGCATTTTCTTGCTTGTACCGATCTACCTTATAATCTATGAAATGTTTTGCTCCTTTGGCTGCCCTCTGATTTGGCTGGTTAATGTAATGCGCCTATTCTTGAGAAAGTGTTTAGATTCCGGTATAATATATAGACAAAACATTTTCTGGACGTACTCTTCACAAGCGTTTTAATTGCTTCAGATAGCATTCTTTTTCTTTTTTTGTTAAATTCCACTGCTTAGCAGATGGTGATAAAAGTTAGGAACGCATTACTCCTTTTTACAGTGATCTTCTGTGTAATTAGAGCTCTTGATTATGTCTTTTGTTCCTGAAGCCATTATAAACTGAGACATGTAAGGGTAAGTGCAGTAATACATTTTTGGCTCAGCGCAATAGGTGAAGGGTGAGCCAATTAAATGGTTCTTTCTGAATAGTAGTAAAGGCCCCTGCCTTATTCCAGGCTTTTCTAGTCAGAACATTTCATACACCTGGAGGTAGTTTAAATCACTTTGTTTAAAGGTGGATTGTTAGCTGCCAGCAGTTAAAAAAAAAAAAAAAAACATTTTAAAGGTGGGTTAGGTTTGACTGGTATATTTTAATGAATTCCTACACGCGCCAAATATTTTATTGAAAAATGTTTATTTATCCCGTATTGAGGTTCCACTCTTTCCACTATTTTAATTGCTTTTCCTCTCAGGTTCTTCTAGTGACTTGCAGTATACCAAAACAATATATAAACACAATGCATAAAGGGAACCCGCCAGGATCGACACATGGGAGCTGCCATTGCTGACTTGTTATTGAAAGTGCAAGCTCCTGTGCTGCCATTTTTTTTGTACAACGTTACTTAGTGAGTCAGTGTCCTATAACAAGTATATTCCTCTCAGTAGCCGTAACACTTGCTATGTATGTGCATGTTTCAAGTCAGTTAATAAGTAGTAAAGCATGGATATGGATGACTTTCCTGAGCTTGCATTCTCAAAAAACAAGACAGCAGTGCCAGCTATATTACTATTCAGATAAGGGCCTGTTCACACGACGTCCGTTTTCTGTGCTGACCTGATCCGTACGCTCCTGCACTAAAAATGCATCCCAATGTATCCCTATGTGTTTTATGGGCTACTGTTCTCACGTGCGCAGTCCGTTCAGGTTACGACAGAAAAATACTGCATGTCACATTTTGTACGGTCAGGAAACGGTCCGGAAACGCAAAACGCATCAAAAACGCACTGCGCTGCAGCTAACATACTGACAGCCCCACTATATTTTTTTTTCCTGGAACGTGGCAAAAACGCAGCAAAACACATAGCACCGCGTCTGCTGATCCGCACCTGATCAGGACCTGAAACTCATGTGAACAGGCCCTAAGCAACAAGTAAATTCAGTTGGTGAATTGCTGCTACCATTCAGAGAATTTGGCAGTTATGGTTAAAAATCCAGTTAATTTATTTTCAACTGGAACTTTGTATACCCTTACACAATCAAAAATGTAAATAATGTCATACTTGACTCCTATGAAGGAATTTATTGTAAGAAATGCATTTTTCGATTAGTATATAACTGACATTTGTAGTTCCAGCACCATAATTGCTCTCACTTTGGTGCACGCAGTGATACCCAACATGTGTAGCGAGATCGATCGTTGTTTTCGTACGTAGTGCATGTCATTTTAAATGGGACAGGACACAGAATATACAGGTGAAACTCGAATAATTAGAATATCGTGCAAAAGTAATTGCAGTAAGTGCTGCAAAAGGGGCCCAAACCAAGTACTGAGTACATATGCATGCTTGTACTTTTCAGAGGTCCGATATTGTTCTATGTACAATCCTTTTTTTTTTATTGCATGTAATAATCTACTTTTTTGAGGTTGTGGATTTGGGGTTCTTGGGGTTTTCATGAGCTGTAAGCCATAATCATCACAATGATGACAAATCACGTCTTGAATGATCTTGCTTTGCATGTAATGAGTCTATCTCATATATTAGTTTCACCTTTTAAGTTGCATTAGTGAAATAAATGAACTTTGCACGCTATTCTAATTATTCGAGTTTCACCTGTACAATATAATTTGAACTTGTTATCTACAGTAATCCTAGTTGTTTTTAAATTATTACTAGTCAAACTGGAAAAATAATATAAAAATTCAGTTTCCATGCATTTCCTTGTCCATCTCATCTAGATTTAGAGGGCAGCCTCCCCTTACCGCCATCAGTGTTGCTCATACACAACAGAAACTGAGCTTCTAAGGACTACTGGAAAAATAGATAAGTTTGGAAGAGTGATTTGAAGCAAGTACAGGAAGAACAGGATGGAGTAGCACCGTTTTTCAAAGTTACAGTTTGAGATGCATCCTATTCTACTTACACTGCAAAGGCAGACAAACCAATCAAGTCAACAGTATCAGTCAC